GAAAGAGACAGAGAGAGAGAGAGAGAAGAGGGGAGGAGTTGATCTTGCGAGAACTTCCGGGCGGGTGAGAATAGCCACTTTCTTTGCCATAATAGACCTAATTAATGGGCTTATAATTATATTATATAGGCCTACTAATTATATGTCATTCTGTAGGCTACCTCTGCCTCTAATTGCCTACAGCTAAAACCTACATCAAGTCCAAGAACTAGGGTACTACAGGGCCTAAACCTAGATTGGCTAGATCTATATCTATCTATATCTAGATCTAGATTATAGATATAGAGATATCTAGATTTCTAGACATTCTAGATTTATAAGACTGGGTCTGGGATAGAATTTGACTCTAGATCTAGTACGCTTACACCAAAACCAGCACCAACTACAATGTGGTAGACAACAACACCTAGATCTAGATCTAGATCTATTCTGCATACAGTATTTAATATAGCCAAGCGTAGAGAGACAACATAGCCTAGCTGACTGCTAGACTAGATCTAGACTATCCTGCACCCTGCGACTGCTGCACCAACACACACTTCTTTGACCAAGAGACTAGACTGCGCCACTCACTTCAAGTAAACCCTTTTCTTTCGCCCTGTCAATGATGTACTCGGCGAAGCTGGCATCATAGTCTATGTAGAAAGGGTCGTTCAGCTGATTCACAACCAACAGGCATTTCATTTCAAAAACAGAGCAGTTTCCACTCTCAACAAAGCTCGGGTTACACTTTGTTTACGTCTGCCTGCCGGTAGCATGGAGAATGTTTTCTCGTGACGCACCTTCTCTAACTTCAGGTCCAAAGAGTTTTAATAAAGGCCCTGCATCAGGGAGGTTGGCACGTACAGTTTGTTGTAAGGTCCTTGCCCTGCATAGATCTAGAGAGGTCCAAAACTTGGGAGAGGTTATAAACTATATAACTATTTATAACTTCTTTGGGCCCCACAATAATACTTTTTTTTAAACCAGAGACCGACGATCACGAATAACGATCTTACTAAAATCTTAGTACATGTACGTTGAGAATAAACATTCTAATTGAGAAAAACATACTCGGCGCATTGTGAGTGTGAAATAAAGACCCCAACCAGTTACATGTTATAAGTACATGTACATGACATAAACTGAAGCAATAGTACTTAATATTAATATGGCCTTAAAAGATTTCACAGAAAGTTTCGTGCTGATGTACCGTACATGTAACAAAGACTGCGCGGTCTTTCCTGAAATTACTCGTCAGTTTTGTGACTTCTCGAGGACTGGTCTGTCTTTTAGTTGAGAAGAGACTTCTACATACATGTGTGAATCTATAGTAAAATCAGTCAATACAGACATAATGTCTGTCTGTCTGTCTGTCTCTCTCTCTCTCACACACACACACACACATACACACACACACACACACACACACACACACACTATACATTCTCTTCCTTTCTCCCTCTCTCTGTCTATCCCCCTCCACCCCCCCCTCTCTCTCTCTCCCCTCTACCCCCACCCCCTTCTCTTTCTCTCTCACTGTCTGTCTGTCTGTCTGTCTCTCTATATCTCTGTCTCTGTCTGTCTGTCTGTCTGTCTGTCTGTCTGTCTCTCTGTCTCTCTCTCTCTCTCGCTCTTTGCGCGTGTGTGTGTGTGTGTGTGTGTGTGTGTGTGTGTGTGTGTGTGTGTGTGTGTGTGTGTGTGTGTGTGTGTGTGTGTGTGTGTGTATGTGTGTGTTCGAGTCGCTCCTTCCCCTTCGGCTTCTCTACGATGTCCCTTTACCTTTAAAAATATTATTTCTGCGCTTTTTCTCTACTATTGTGTAATGCCCTTTTCTTATACAATAGTAGAGAAAAAGCGCAGTACCTGCCTTAACGGAAACCTGTCTTAACATGTTCCCCCTTGATATATTCCTCTTTAATTACCTGTATAAAACGGATACCTGTCCAACGCGGAAACTGAAAGAAAAATCCGCTCCTTTTTTTAGGGTTTCAGCTGTCTAAGACGGAAAATGCTTTACCCGCTCAGCCCTGATTTGAAACAAAACTCGCAAGTTTGGTTCCTCCGGCTCTAAACTTAACGCCATGGCCATGCTGCTGGGCGAGGAAGGGGAGTAGGGGTGCAATTTGGGGGTAGATGTTACCCCATCATGTGAGCCCTGAGCGATGCAGATGGTCAGTATAGTGTGGGCGTGAAATCTCACGACTGCCCGTGAGAGTGCTCGAGTAGCGAGCCACTACGGAAACTTTCCTGGGTAGCCAGAAGCCAGAGGTGTGAAATTAGATTGACCAATGCCTGCCGCCCTGATCGTACGGCCAGCCGAGAAAACAGTTCCTCAAATCGTTGTTACAATTATGGCAGTGAGGGGTGGCATTGGTGGGTGGGGCTAAGGGTGGAACCAAAGGAGATGTGCAAACTTTTCTGCTTTTAATAGGTCAAACAGTGGTCCTATGAATGGCAAGCACTGGTGGTAATTGGATACGCAAGACTGACGCATGTCATTATCAGACAGGATGGCAGCTGAGAGGTGTGAAGTTTGACCACTTCTTGCCGATCAGACAAACAAGCGATCCTTGATCCCACCGGCTGGGCCTTTGAACACCCCCCCCCCCCAAACTTCACCTCCCCCCTAAATTCCCCTGTCTAAGACGGAATTTTTTCCCGCTCTCTAGCCTAGCGATTCCGTTTTATACAGGCTCGACTGTACTAAAAAGCAATCTAGTCGCCAAGAGGGTGGGAACTTCCCTGTCCTGGTAAAGTACATTGTACCTTATCCAACTTCTAATTCACGTACTTGAAGGCTGATGAATAACTCGAATTTTTTTTCTTTAAATTTTTCTCACGTTTATTTCAAACAGCTGACAGAAAGGATCAAGCACCTGTTGTTGAAGGTACTGAACCCCGCAAGTTTCAGAGAGATTTCAATGTCAGTTCATCCAACCCTTCGAGTTACTTCAGCTTCAAATAATTGGGGAAAGCGGAACGGCCACACAGTCTTGACCACCGTCGAACTCCTGAGACTGACAGTCCGAACCCCTGGGGTTCAACACAAGATAGCCTTGATCAACAGCAAAACCTTATAGAAATGGGAAGTTTGATCTACAATTCTACACCTTGACCTGCTGCACGTCGATTCAATTTCAACTCGTTTCAGTGAGGCACAGCTGCTGATATGTACCTGTACCATGGTGTACTCTTCATGGCGTCTTCCCTACATTTCACACCTGAAGAGACAGCCCCCCCCCCCCCCCCCCCCCCCCAACCAGTTGAACTTATCCAGCTGCAGTTATCCCATCGAACGATTGGCGTAGACCCTTCTAAAGGATTCTAATCATAAACCACTTTAAAACCTGCGCTCGTTGTGCCAGTCTGGTTCCTTTGTATGTCGGTGTATGAGTTCATTCTCCTTTGAATACTTGCCGGCCATTATAAACGTAGCTTTTGCTTGTTTCCTTTTAGTAGTTAGCGTTTTACGGCACTTGCAAAACAATTTATATAATTACTTTAAGGTATCGAATAAGCGTCCCCCTTTCCTTTATTAATTTTCTGATTTTTTGCGCACCCCCCGCTCCTTTTTCCATACCCCCGTTTATTATTTTCCAGCTTACCACGACCGACGATCATTTGAAAAATTGTATCTAGAATCTAGAAATCTTGATAAAACTTTTTTTTTGTGGAAACGGTAAATTACCTTCAATATTAGTACTGGTGCCAGGTTGGCTACCTCAATTTTCTGTGCATTATCAAAACTTTTGTACAGTGGGTGTCGCATTCAACGAGAAGTCGGCTCCAACAAGGCAATCCTTAATCCCCGATTTTCCCCCTATATCTCTTTGTAAATGTACGTCGGCTCCATACAACGAGGTTGCAAACAGACCGAAGTCGCTTTCAACGAGGCCGCGATAACCAAATAAAAGCAATTAGTGGCCCCAAAAGCGAAGAATTTTTCTCCTTTCTCTCCATCTCACGCGAAGCACAAGGCCCATCCTCGATTCCTAACACATTGTATTGCTAGATCTTGTGCGCCTCCTAATATGGGCCCCCAAAGCCAGGAGGATGGGACAGGGTTAGCCTACGGTAGGGATGGGAGGGGGTGGGTGGGAACGCAAAGCTGGCTGTGTGAAACTGGATGAACTCTGGAAGGGTAGGTCTAGATCGAGACCTTCATAAAAACATTTTTTTTTCTTCACCTGATCAGAAAATCCAAGCTCCCGCCTTTACTTTATGTAGACCTAGGCCTAGATGAGAGAGGGTATGTTTCCACACGAGAAGTGTTACGGAAAAACATATTTTAAAATGCAGAAATGACGGTCAGAACACAGCTCAAACACGCACACACTGATGCTGTGTGAGATTTTCGTCAAAAGGGGGAACAATGTTTTAATTACTGGTACATGTACATCGTGTAATATAATAACTTGTCTCTCTTTCTTTACTTTAGTCTTAGTCACGTTCAACGAGAGGTCGGATCCAACGAGGACAACAAGCCGGTCCCAGCAACCTCGTTGAATGAGACACCCACTGTACATCGGTTTATATTTAATGAAACTTTTCCTAAAAAGGGTAAAGTTGTCACAGCAACTTACTAAAATCAATAAAATTTCATGATATCTTTTTGTTTTATTCACTGCAGTAGAAATAAAACAGATTTGTTCCTACTAGTACAGGGATATGAGGTTGAATGTGCCCCCCCCTCCTTTTATTAATTTTGGACCACTTGTTCACCCCCCCCCCCTTTTTTTTATTCCTAAAAACCCGTTTATTCGATACCTTAGAGTAGAGGTGTTACAAAGAGAGTAACAAACACACACACCAAAAGAAGATTAGATGAGTGATAGCGATAGGAAAAGAGGAGAGAAAGCCACAGCACACGAGAGCACCAGCCAACCAACCACGCCAATTTTTTTGTGAGTGATGGAAGCTTTTTTCCAAAATGAGCCCATAAAACACCATCAGACAAGACAGTTTTGGGAAAAACCTTCCCTCTATTTATAAACCATGTTGATTCCTAGGAGGGGAAGGTTCTTTATGAGTATCTTCGTCTGAAACATTGTGTCGCTCAGTCTCAGCACTGGATGGCCCAACAGACAAGGTTGAATCCTCCCAAACGATCTGCATAAATGATAAATTGTGCCAACTCTACAGTAGAGGCTTCCAAAAAAATGTAAAAGGTAAGCAATATATACAGTATGACAAGGATAGTTCGAACACGGAAGACTCGAAATCACGCATCCGTCCAATTGTGCCTGCTGTCCGTTTTTCTTCTTCTTCTTTATCTTTGTAAGATATGCTTTGAACTACCGATCCCTTGAACTACCGAGGCAGGTCCTGAAGAATTCAAGCTATCTGTGTTATACTGTAATGTCAAAAATAACGTCCCACCCGTTCATAATTTTGAAAGTGTACACCTGGTATGCTTCATGAAATCTACACTGTCACCCCAGCTGGCATCCATAATTTTAAAAATCAAGCTTCACATACAACATGTTCCAAAGTTTTCTTGTTATAGGAAAAAAAAAGACCCCTACTCTTTGACTTATATATATATATATATATATATAAGGAATGCAGTGATCTCGACGAGCTCTTGAATGAGCTTTTCATTTGGTCATGAATCTAAAATTCAGTCTGCAAATTGCCATGCACTTAGCATTTCACTTAAGTGTGTTATATTACAGGGGTAACACACACATTTCTTCCATAAGGTAGAGAGAAGGCCTGGCTACCTAACAAAGCCACAGAGAGCCAAATGAACCAGACCCAAAAAACCCCCAATGTAAAATGCCTTCAAGAAATTGGCAATCAGATACACCACTCTCACCAATATAGTATTTTTTTTTAGTAGAGGTTTTACGGCGCTCGCAACTGCATAAGGCCATATGAGTGCCAGAAGATTAGAGGTGCTACAAGAGAATATAATAACAAACATAAAAAAGAAGGAGGGGAGATAAGGACGACAGATGTTTGATAGGAAAGAAGAAGCAAACCACACCAGAGCACCCGCCAACCACCCACCAATATAGTGTATCAAGTTGAAAGTTGACCAAAAAATATGAGTAGCTTCAGGCTGTTGTCAAAATAATGAAATCAAAGAAATTGATTTTTTGCTCCCACCCATTAGGCAATTTTTATTGTAAATTTTTTTTTGGGGGGGGGGGAATTGAACACCTCTAATGATTAGGAGTGTATTTTACTGAAAAATGATAAAAAGCACAAAAATGTGAATTTGTCGTTTCCGAAACCCCATCCCCTTCAATCACTAATATCTCGACTTATATTCAAAATATACAGATTTTTTACATCAAAACCAAGGCAAATGAGGCTTTAACTTACTTTAAGCTAATAGAAATAACCCCAATACCCCAAAAAGAGCACTTGATTCAACAGTGTGGTAACAATATGTACAAATGAAAATCCCCAAAATAAAATTTTCTTTCTGAAACTTTTCATTTTCTATTCATGAACACTGACAACAAATAAAACTGTTTCTTTCTTTTACTTTTATTTCCAAAAGAGTCATACGTGAGACAAATACATGATGACAACACAAGCATACACAATGGTGTCCTTAAAGAAAGAAGAACATAAATACAACAGCTACAACACAAATCCTATCCTGTCTTCACTGACAGGATGACTGATGTTTCCTTATGTTGTAGCCAACAAGACACACAAGAATTACATGCATGAATGTGAGTCTGCCAACCTTTGAACTCTTTCAGAAAAATAACAAATTGTTCAAAAAAATGATTATTCACACTTTCAACATCACAGTCAGTTCCACACACGTTCCCACATGCACACTATCACTCTCTCGTTGCAATATATTTACTTGTGGATCTGCACACAGGTACTTCATGCTTGATGACATTTACTGACATTTAGTGAAACTGATTCAAAATATGATTCATAAAACCCCCCTAAAGCATCAGTGGTCATTTATATATGCTGATGTAATATTTTCATAAGTTTCTCTAAAACTCAAACTGTAAATAAAATACATTGAGAATGCTTTTACGCAAGATTTTTCCTCCCATGTCAGTCTCATTTGAAAAACAGTTGTCACAAGCACAAAACTGCCTACAAAACAGGAAACAACAGACTCTACTTCCACTGTTTCTTGATGGATATATTCTTCTCAGAATCCTTCAGCATGATCTGTGGATGAGAAAGTATAGAGAAATGTAACCAAGTTTTGTACCTATTGCTGTAAACCCCACAACAAACTACACTATAACACAAATACATACTGGTTAAAAAAAGACTTGCAACACACTGCAGATGGCACCTGAACTCACTTGATCAAGCAGAACTGAAAGATGGCATTTATTGATTTTGTTTTCACTTCTTATCTGTTTCATATTAAGGCCACAGGAACACAATGTGTCAGTCTTTGTGCTTGTGCGTCTTCTAGTGGAAATGGATGTACGTATAGTAAACTTTAACACGGAGCAGTTTAATTCTGAATTCTTTTTACCATGGAAGGATTTCAAGCTCCTTTTTCCCCCCCCCCCATTCTTTGTCTTATACACTGCAGCTTCTCTAACACAATAACAAATTCCAGTAGATCTGGTTATCAGGAAGGAAGTTTATGCTGCTTCATCATTTCCCCTTCCACCCCTCCCCCCCTTTTTTTTGCACTCACTGTACCAAACCACTATCAAGACACTTCAGGAAGCTGCCAGCCATCCATAATTTAATTTGAACTTTGAGTTTCAAATCGTCTTTATAATGTGCAGCTACGTTATTTGCTTTTGTTGCGAAACTGAATTGTAGTGAGGAAAACCATCATATTATACAATGCATCAACAACCTCCCTTGAACCTAATTCTGCGCCGTCAAGGTATCTGTTTAGTATTGAAAATAAGGTTTCCCTTTTTTCCTCAATTTCCAAATGTTGGCAGCTCTGCAGATGTCACCCATATACATAAAATTTTGGTGCCGTTGACGCACTCTTCATTCCTCAAAATTTAAATGAAGGTAACATTCAGTATTCCTAAGAACAAGACAGAACCAGATTATAATATACAGTGGAGTCCACTTATAACCTGTCCTGAAATAACGAGAAGTCTGTTATAAAGAAACTATTCTAAAACTCCGTTTTTTCCCCTAGTTGATCTCTGTAAATAAAATACTGCTATTGCGCAATTAGACAGTCACGCGAGTTGGTTATAATGGAATATTGCTGCTGCTGTGCACAGCGCACAGACCAATTAACCATATAAAACCTCGCCAGTAGAGAAAGTTGTTGGTGATTCAGCGAAACAAAGAATGGGAGAGCCCACGCGAACCAACAATGAAGACCGGAGCGAATGAGTGGGGAGGGTGTGGCATGCGCAGACAAGCAGAACCCATCGCGTGATAGGCCAGCCTAGTCTAGATTATCTAGGCCTACCATGCCTCTCACTTCTCTGATGCGGGGATGGAGAGGTCACAGTGCTGTGATAGACGGAGTGAATGTGTGACGTGCGCAAGCAGACGGAATGCACCACAGGGTGTGATGGGGTGGGGGACAACACAGTAGGCGAGTTAGCCTAGAGCCCCTTTTTTCTGATCGCCAACGCCGAGCTGTCAACATTGTTAGTGCTAGAGAAAGAAACCTGATTCGATTTTTGATCAAGTAAGACCTAGAGCTCATGTTGAACAAAATCATTATCAGGGGAGATACAAAAGATTTCGCACCCGTTCTCTCCCTTTCGGAGGATTCCACTGTCATATAATTGTAGCTTCAGTGGCCTATGCATCATTATAAAATACTCTAGAATTGAGCCACTGGTTTCCTATTCCACTTAAAAAATATGTGAGTGTCTGCTGTTCAGCATGAATTCAAGGCTACATGGAAGAAGCAGCTGAGTAACTCCAAAGCGTACACGAGTTATTGCTGACGCTATGCATCTTCATAAATTAATCCAGAACTGAACTGTCTTCCCAAACATGTGACATGGTGAAAAAAGTGCATACTTCAAGTAAAAGTAAAAGGGAGATTTCGTGTTTGTAATATTCTATCACGTCTTGAATTCAATGAAGGATCGATAACAGAACACAGCGGATTAAGCACAGAGGTTTAACGGCTCTTGTTGCGGCCGGCACACTCGAAGTGCTAACAAAAAACAAGGACAATAGTGAAATGAAGCGAGACCCTAATTAGGTTACCGGAACTCAGGAAGTAAAACAATGAGGTCGTAAGTACTGTAAACATTAAAATATCATGACAGTAGGCTAAGAAACAACTCCAATATTTTTTTTTTACTACACATGCCTTGTCAGGTTGAAGATATAAGGAAGAATAATCAATACTATTGTGCCTATCTGCATTTTAGCACGCAATCACACGAAGAAGAAAACTATTGGGGACTGCGTGAATTTGACCTCATTTACCAAATTTTAAAAAACGCGACAAAACATTTTAGTATTCATTCTGACATTCTTTTTACACCTGAGAGAAAATGTATTTCTTTGAAAAATGTGTAATAACTTGGACCTGAGTGCACACCTGAGGCATATAAGTGTTGGTCTGTCATACACACATGCTATTTACAAATAACAAATACAACCCAATGCTCTCACCTTAGCCACAGCAAGCTCAAAGTCCTCTTGAGTCACATGCACGCGACGCTCTCGCAATGCATACATGCCAGCCTCTGTACAAACACCCTGAAAGAAAAGAACGAAAGGAGATATGCATGAAATACCGGCTCTACTTCAAATCCTCCTGAACAGGGTACAAGTTGTTGTTGTTATCAATCCAGGAACAGGGTACAAGCTAACGAGCAATATAAGACTTACCCCTTTTAACCTTTTTTTCATAACCACCGCAACAATTCTGGCCCAATGCAACTACAGCAGTAAATTTCCTTCCTTTCACATCCTTCCAAATTACTTCAGACCAATTTAAAAAAAAATATAAACCACATCAAACCTAAAGATGGAATCCACAAGGAAAGAGAAAGAGAGGGAGACCTAAAAAAGTACTTGGAAGAGGAACTTAGCTTCTGATCTAAAGAAAATAAATTGAAAAAAAAAGAAAAAGTAGAGGGTTTTACGGCGCTCGCAACTGCATAAGGTCATATGAGCGCCAAGGGGTGGGTGTCAACAGAGAAGTCTTTACAGCGAATCAGACTTAGACTGCTCACCTCTCTAGCTTCAACAGCACAAGGTCTGCTTCGACTATCAAGGCACCCCAAAATAGCAGGTCACAAGAGAGTGACAAACATACAAAAGAAGTAGATGAAAATGACAATAGTAAGGATCAGGAAAGAAAAAGTAGCAGTTCCCTGTTGAAGATCAGGCACAGTTATGACCGTGACACAAATCAGCCCATTTACAATTCTACTATGCTTGAACGAGATATGTCCCCCCCCCCTTTGGGAATGGGCTAAAGACACTTCAGTCAGTGGCACTGCCCCGGCGGATTAGGATACATTTGAACAGTGGTGGAGACTATAACTTGGGACAGAAGTATATGGAGAGCTTTAGTAGGTGGCCTATACTCTGGCATGTGGTGAGAAAGGCTGATGATGATGTGTATTAGTATGTTTTACTGCTCAGGGAAATGACTACAATTAAATCTTAAAACTGTCTTTTAGGCACTCACAAAGACGAAATGAGCGACAAAATAACATCTGTACTGCATCATTCACTCACTGAGAAGACAGTTCAAACAGACAGGACAGGAGGAAGAGGATCTAACAGGAGAAAGAGGATCTTACATCCCTAAATATATCTCAAGTAGAAGGATGCTGTTCAAGTTGCAGGCATTTTGTCAGGTTACGTCTAATTAAAAGTACACTTTTATGTGTAATAAAAACCCTGACTATGAATGCCTTTATTTCAACTTTAAGAATTTTTTCCCCCATCAAAGCAGTACATTTCTATACTCCCTATTCAAATGTTAAGGTCTCAAAGAGTCAGTTTTCTTGTAACATTTTAAAAAATCATACTGGAGTTACAAATTTTGTAAGAATACACAAAAACAGTTGAATAAAAATATGCAAATGCACACAACACCACTTTTGAAATTGCATGTAACAGAAATTGTAAGGACCCCCCCCCCCCCCCAAGTCCACCTCATTGTACTATTAACAAATTAATGCAAACAGTATCCAACTCTCATCCACCCCTCTAAATAACTTTAAAAGGTTCACAAAAAAACCCCAAACAAACCAGTAAGAACATAAGGACATTATGTCTGAAAGAAAAAAAGCATACAACTATGACTCACCTTGACTTCAGCACCAGATGCCCCTGGCATCATTTCAGCAATTTTGCGGAGGTTGATTCCTCTTGTGAGGTTCATCTTACGGGAATGAATTTTCAAAATATCCAAGCGGGCCTGAGAAAAAATTCAGAAAAAATAGTAATCAAATAATAGGCTAATTATTGTCAACCCCTGTTATGGAGGACTTAAAATAAGAAAGAGCCGAATGCCCTTTTTCTCAGAAACAATACATGAACCTGCACAGTTATTTATCAACAGTAAAATACCAGTACAAGAATGCATGAGAACTCACTAGAATAGAAAAATTCAATTTTTGAACTCTGATAAAGTATAAAACATACACCAAAGATTTTCATTTAAAAATTGTTAAGATAGGAAAAAAAAGCAGATCATATAATGCAGTCATTCATATAGTAAGAGAGTAAAATTCTTTTATCAGGTACATGAATGAGAACGGTGTGAGTACGAGGCCCACGAGGACAAAGTTGATGTAACATGAAAATATAACAAATTTTCCAGTAATGATACTTACATAAACTTCATGGCACTGACAACTTATTTTTACTTAAAATATTCCTTAGTTTCCACTCGTTACATTTGAAAGCTCACCTCTTCATTCGGAGGGGGAAACTCAATCTTTCTGTCAATTCTGCCTGGACGTAAAAGTGCGGAATCAAGGATATCAATTCTGTTAGTAGCCATGATAACCTGAGGAAAAAAACCCAACCCAATACACATACAAGGAAAATATAATAAAATCAATTTGATTCAACACAGAACCTTGAGTCAGTGTAATTTATATCTAAATGCTAATTGTATGTTTGGAAATACTCAGAACAGTTAAGCCTGGAAGTGCGCACCAGTTTACCTGAAGTAACCCTCCCCCAAATGCCCCACAGCCATGGCTGATCAGTTGTAAACATGGGGGGGGTTTGGCCAAGGTATCAGCTGAGATTTTTACCTGCTACTGAAAAGTGACCATTTACAGCTCTACAGAGGACAAAAGGCAAATAAAACCATATATTTTCTCAAAGCTGATAGAACAAGCCATTCAAAAATCACAAGCGATCGAACAACACCAAACAAGGTGCAAAACACAATGAAGTCGTCAATTAGTAAAGTAGGTGGCGAAACAAGTGATAACACATAGGGTAAGGCTGTTAAATTGGACAGCGTCACTTTATCGATCGATATCTCGGCCAATGGATGCGCTATGAATTCAAAATAAATTGCAAACTCATTGGTCACTACCAATAACTTTGATTTGCAATTTACTATGTCATTTACCATGTAAGTAATTCTGAAATTTTCAATTAAAGAAGTTCAGGGTCAACGCCCTCTATAAAGGGCCTGTGCACTATCCGATCAAAGAAGGTTGGCCCAATACAAGGTTGCGCGCTTCCCGGGTAGCCCGGCTCACGTGCTATAGGGCCGTTATGCTTCCAGAGGTAAATTTCATGATGGCAAAGTCTGACTACGAACTATTATCCCAGATAACTTATGGCAAAAAAGCAAAGTCAAAAAGTCTGAATTTTATATCTTGACTTGATTACAAAAAGTGAGGAGATTCCTCTCTCTACAGTGTTAAATTATTAAAAAATGAATAATAAAATGAAATAACCTTGATGTTCTGCTTTGGTTCAAATCCATCCAGTTGATTCAGCAACTCAAGCATAGTTCTCTGTACTTCACTGTCACCTGGGAAAGATTTACAAGTCAACATGCAAATTAATAAAAAAATAAAAAAAATTTAAAGTTTGTCACTGACCCTAATGACACTTACTTAAAAAAACAAAAACAAAACCCTAAACACATTCTCTAAGCATCAAAATGACTCACTTATTGAACCTTTAATACATTCAGCACTATTCCAAGTTAACATTTTCATTTAGTGGTACATGAAAAGCTATCTACCATACCTATCCCACCTTATATTATTCTTGACATACAGCAAAAGTAAATAATGTGCTAGTTCATTGTTCCTTAATATGCAATTTCCAGGGCAGCCCACCAATCACCATGTTTTATTAATCCAACAAATAAAAAGTATAGCCATGGACAGCCTTTCTTCCCTGGTGTGTCAAGAACAGGGGTTGTAGCTGAGAATAAATGTAACGAAAACAAAGAAGTGATGATAAAAAGACTTCTTGTCCCAGGCTCGTCATTGTTGAGAGAAGGAGTGTTTGTGTGTGTCTGTGGTGTGTATAGTTTCTGTTTGAAAAAACAAAAGAAACGTTTGAAATAACAGAGAACGCCACAAGCCTTTGATCCTGATTGTGCATCTCATCAGACCATGCCAAGCACCCAATGTAGCTAATTGTACCAAGTTTTAAACAACGATTCAAATTTGTCAAAATTCTCTCATTGACCTCGGCTGTCACCCACTACACAAAAAGGCAGGAATTTCCTAACAGTAACACCTTGACAACCTAATGTTTGACATACCCCTGGATTGTGCAAGTTTAAAGCCTAATATTTTTTAAAGCCTAATGTGGCACTGAGAGACTACAGGGGTTCAATACGAGGATGTTTAAGTCAGACAGCTGCCCGTGACGCAGACTGTCCAGTTCTGGTAGTTTTTCTCCCCTTATTCACCGGGAAGGTTGGCAGTGGGTTGGGGGAGCTATTTTTTAAGAAAAAAATCGGAATCAGTGGTATCACGATTCAATTCTTGTAAAATAGAATAAAAATCGTAACCATTTCGCTAAATTCATAATGATGAGCAATCCTGTACTTCCGACTTCACTTTGTACAAACAATATAAAAGGGCAAATTATATTTACTTGCCTCCTATTTGGAATTCATTTTCTCACGAAGGAGATATTTGAAAGAAATTGTCTCAACACTTGTTAGAAAACAGCCAGTAAAAACCTTTGACAGCAAAGGAACTGACTCCATAATACTGTACGCATACAGAGCAGAACACAGTTCTTGAAAATGGCCCCCTTGGGCAAAATTATTGGTTCATATTTCAAACTATTTTGGGTAGTCCAATCATCTCTGTACTTGAACATGTGCCTAACATTCAACCCCTTCAGATTAATGAATGTCCATTTTTTCAGAATCTTTCTAATTTCAATGATTTTGACTCCCACTCCTCATCTACTGCATCTTAGTGCTCTATATCAAGCTCAAAATACCAATAGTTCATCACACTCTAAATGTATGCACTCAAATCCATCAATATTAATGTTTCTTCTTTAAGCAGCTATCACATTCTTACCTCCTGACCCACTCTCTAAACGAGAAGATCCAATAGAATCAATTTCGTCCATGAAAATGATGGATGGAGCATGTTCCCTGCGGGGAAAAAAAGTGATATCCAAACACTTGTGTAAAAACCAAAATGAGAAGAATTTATTATAATGGCAAGCTGCTCACAGCTAACAGCGGCTTGAGGTCGAAACCACTGTGCTGGTCAGCCAGCGGCTTGGGGACATTCCTTTATGACAACTTCAACATCAAATTATTCTACAGCATTTGCTGAAAACAGGTCTCTTTTAACGGGAGTTCATCCATGAGATGAAGAACTATCAAAATAGGTTCAATTGTTTTGATTTAATGACATGACCACTTTAGAGAGGATTTTGTCATGTTTAGATTTACTACCAAAAAAGGGCTGCGGCATAGTGGGTATATCCCCCCCCCCCGGAGATAAGAGTTAAATTTATCGCTGCCTGAAATATTTCTAGTATTGACAACTAGTTTAAGGAAAAACAAATTTCTAATTAACGTGTAAAACATTCTCAGCACTTATAATAATAATGAATAATGTGGGGGGGAATTCAGCTCAAAATTTTTAGCTTCTTTAGCCTCTCTTACAACTATTTCGTTACATAAAAAAACCATAAAGCCTTATTTCTTCCCATATAGGGCATGTTTGTCACCACCATTTCCTCATAAAGTCAATCTTTCAAAATTCTTTATCGCCTATTGTCTCGAAACGTGGTTTTTCTATATACTTTAAAAAAATAACTCCACCATTTTTAAATTAAAAAAAGATGTAAAACTTAGTGGGATGAATTTTTGATACATGCAATAGGTTTTTGTTAATGGTGATCGGAGTGGATTTTCATGGATTTTTTAAAATGCGAATACTACGTCAGGAAAAAATTCATTAAAAATTTTCTAGTATGTTTTGGAAAAATTTATCACACAGATTTGTTTGTCAAGATGCATGCAAAAAAACCTATTTCTTTCCATGAAAAATACATGCGGTATTAATTACATAAGAAATGTGACAAAAATCAAATATGATGGCCACGGTATCCATGGAAACAAAAATAAATTTGTTTCTCAAATTTAAATGTGGATTTTAAGACTCCTTACTCTTACTATGCTTGTTATATGTGTGAAATTTGGTAACATTTGATCCATCAATGAGCAAGGTAGCCCCCCCCCCCCTCCAAGTGTCAACAGCCATAATTTAATCAACCACAATTATGAGTCTCTATTTTGTTTTTTTAAACAATCTTGTTTATTAATATGGCCTAACATTTCAACTCTTTCCCAAATGAGCTATATTTCCAGTTGTTGTTGTTAGCGATCCAGAAGCATCTGAGCTTTAACTCTTCTGCACAATGCCATTCGGTAATAGCTGCATGTCTGTTCTAATTGTTGTCTTGAGGAGTAGAGGCAATTAGATGTGTGGGGTAGCTTGGGAAGAAAACATCCCCTAAAATCAGTTAGTTTTCTACAGAAGAACAGATGATGTTCCACTGTCTCTGAGGGGTAGTCACATAGTGGGCAAGCAGCAGACTGCTTTACTCCAATTCGGTTGAGATGTTGTTTGAGGGGTACATGTTGTGTTGTAAGTTGGAAGATTATTGACTGATCTCCCCTCCTCAACTCATTAATTGGATCTTTGACCAGTGGTTTATTCATGTGGCCATACATCCTCCTTCCTGTCGTACCTGTGGCCCAATCATTCATCCACTCTTCCTTGAGGTTTGACTTGATATTTCCAGTAAACATTATACTTTCTGACAATGTACAGGTTCGTTCATGGTTTTTACTTTGTTGGTTTGCTTCTTCTCACACATTGTCCAATATAATATGGTGAAATAATACAATTATATGCTACTTGTTAGCAACTCTTGGTGGGTTAACCCTATCCGTACGTCGTGTTTTACTATTGTATGCATACGATGCCGGGAACTCTGTGCCACCACTTTCCAAAGAAGAAACTTATTAGTTAATCTGACCCGAACGCTTTGAATAGCAGTCTGTCAAAATGATTTTTTGATAAATACTGAAAGTTTTAAAGAGATCTTTGTACTAGAAGTATTCTAAAATGTGAAGAATACAACCCCGGGGGGTACAAAATGACCCCAGAGCTTACAGATAGGGTTAAAGAGCCATAGATATTTTATAGTAAAATTCACATAAATGCATATCTGACAATAAAATACCACATTTTCTTAACATGAAAACCACGTCTCTAACCTACAAATCAATGTAACAGTTCTGAAAATGAACACAACAAACGATCAAGCAAGAACTGCTTTACTTACCTTGCCATGACAAAGAGTTCTCGAACCATACGAGAGCCTTCTCCAATGAACTTCTGAACCAGCTCTGAGCCAGAGACTCGGATGAAAGTACACTCTGTGTGATGAGCTACAGCTCTTGCAAGCAAAGTCTTTCCTGTGCCTGGCGGTCCGTACAGGAGCACACCCTGAAAGAGAAAGAAATATGGAGAGTCCACAAGAGCTTAAACTAATTCCATGCGTGAGAAAAGACCAGTTACTACATTGAACAATTTGCTGATTCTTAGATTTGGAAAAACTGGTGTGAAGTAATACTTCATTAAACTTCAATAATGATAATTTATGAATTTCTTCATCTCAAACAAAATTCACAAGAGACTTTTGAAACCTAAGGTTGGTTTCTCAAATAGCTGGATACTTGGATCATCACATGAGCACAGGAAAAAACTGATGTAGTACATATTGTAAACAATACACAGTTATTGAAAACCCTTCATCCAAGTTTAAACCATACTGATCTTTCTACTTTTAGAATGGCAAGTCCACAGAGTTTTGAGCAAAGGCATGAAAGAGTCTATACAATAACAGCCACCTTTTGGTACACATCTCTTGAAAAAATTCCAAGGACTATATCACTACGTTTTATCTTGCCACCAAAGTGCTTAAGTTAAATCTTAGTTTGAAAGTGAGTTTCAAAACAGCATCCAATTTTGCAAAAGATGCTAGCTGAACACCCTCCCCCCCCCCCTCAAGAACATGATAGATCACAGATATCATACCTTTGGCTGAGCAATTCCCAGGGCCTCAAAAAGTTCAGGATGTTTCACAGGCAGTTCAATAACTTCTTTGATTTCCTTGATCTGCTTATCCAGACCTCCAACCATTTCGTATGTGGAGTCAGGCACTTTTTCTACCATCATCAAACTGACTAATGGATCAACCTAAGAAGAAAAAAGAAAAAGACAAATTAACTAACTGTATGAAAAAGTTGAAGCTCACTGCTTTTATAAGACAATTTAAAAAAAAGTTAACTACAAAAAAAATGGTATACAAAATCTTTATTTGAAAATTTTAACAAAGGTTGTGTGAACAGGCGAGATTATAAGTGAATATCTTAATTTATTGGGGGTTACAATTTCAGTCAAAATCTAGCTTCTTTACATTATCATCAACTGATTCAATCAGCTAAGAAAGTGCATACTTACCTTGTTAGGCAAAATCTTGTGTAATACATAGCTATCATTTCTCAGGGCGACTCGGCAGTTCGGGGTCACTTGATTCATATCAATGTTTTTATCAATGTCAACCACAAACTTTCCTTCTGGGTGAACCTGCAAAGGTAAAGTTAAAAATAAATGAACAAAAGTATCCTCACCCAATTCTCTGCATTTTATTCTCTTTTTAAAAAAAGGGTTGAAAAGAGCTCAAACAGGTCAAATTTCGCTGTTACTGAGGCCCACAGACTGCAAAATGCGTCCACACTTAGGCAGCAGCTTGGGAAGGGGAAAAACAGTAAGACAACTAGCCTGTGGACTCATTTTGCAGTCTGTGGGCCTCAGTAACAGCTTTCAACTGTTTCCCTTTTCCTTTAATTCCCACTGTCCTCTTCTCCAGTTTTGCGATGCTGGAGTGCACAACTTCGCCACCCTGCTCGCCCATTAAACCAAGGCCAAATCCATATCTTTTAATAAAAGGCAGACGGTGGTGCTCTGATATGTGTTGTTTGGGTGTGACTGTGTTTGGAAATAGTCGTCTGTACTGCTTCAATATCCATAAATTGCTGTTCCTATAATAATGTCAAACTCAGTTTCTTGTATTTTATGGGTGTAAGGGATGAGGTAGTGTACTTTAGCATAGCTGTTGTTTAATAAATCAGATTTTTGTCTGATTGCGTGAGCTGCATCTATGATGTTTTGGTTAGATGTAACTTGTAAGAGCCGCAGTAAGTGTACAAATGTGTTTTGTGATGCTTGTGTACACTCGGTGCTTCAAGTATTGGTGACAGTTGTTTCCTATCAGAGATCGATTATGGTAAGGTGTCCAGCTGTGTAAACCTTCTTCAATACTTTTTTGTGTGGCAGATCAGGTTGCTTCTCGAACTTGTTTCCTTAAGCGGAATATGCGCTGTACACATTTGTTGCACAGTTTACCGGAACGTGTGTCTGCACTTTCCGCGTCCTTGTCAGCACGATAGAACATGAGTAAGTCATTTTTAAAATTTACACAAAAATATCTGCCCTGGTTTGCCTTCTTAGCCTTTTTACTTCTGGCCCCGCATGTTCTACAGTTTTTTTAACCACTCAAGGTGTAGTTCCCGGGTGTGTTTCATCTTCTTTCATGTAATAGACTCTGCTAACACTTGTTCATAAAGAATCCTGAAAAGAGAAAAGGGACCTCGGGCGAATACCGCACAGGGCAGCGCTGCGGATAGGGAAAATATAACAGGGTGAAGTAACAAAACTCACCCCACTGCTAAAGTTTTTCAGTGAATCTAAACAAATTTTTCACAAATAACTTCCTTACTGTCTCTTGATACTGCAGATTAAAAAATGATAACAATTTGCGTTTCACAAATGGAAAAAAATCCTGACCTTTGTAGCAATCCAAGAAATACGTGCGCCACAAGGTAGTGTGTGCACACGCTCAGACCTAAAAATGAACTAAAAGATGCGGGTTATCTGGGAGAGTCTAGGCTTTCATTTGATACCTCACACACCCAAACTGAAAGATAAGGCAGGACATTTACAGGGGTTTAAATCAAGAGAAAATTACAGACTTTCTACCCGAAATCGGCTAACAGCGCTTTCACACAGGAAGCGATGCACGACCTGACTGTCAGGTAGGATTTATAACCCCGGAAGGTCAGCAGATGGGTTAAAGTAAGTGCTCCGCAAGGATAGTAGAACTGAACAGCTGTGAGGTGTGTGGCAACCCCCTCATAAGTGACAACTAGCAGCTTCAGTACATTTGAAAAATGTCTTCTGATTAATATCAACACAAACATTAACATTTCCCTCACTGTTAGTTCATTAGTTAATGAAGTCACTCAAGCAATTTCTTGAAGGGAAATGTGTGCGCACATGGTTATTTGTGTAAAAGAAAGAGAGAGAAGTACAGAATAATACTATTTTAAAAAAAGCAATAATCAAAACAATGACAACCCCTCCCCCTTCTGAACAGACAGAAGGGAGGGGGGAGGAGAGATCAATGTTCAAGCAATAAGACGAGTAACAGTGGAAATGAAGGGAAAGAAAAAAGGACATAACCAGAGATGTTCATGGGTGAAAGCAATGACAGGTTAAAAAACCTGAAATCCCAATTAGTAAAATGTCTACGCCTGAAAATTACACATGTTGAGAAACGTCTTCAGATAAACACACACAATATTAGAAATACACATATTCCTTCATGATACATACATGTAGTACATGTACTCTCATCAATGTATTCCTTTGACAACAATCCATCCAATCAGGTTCTGGGTCCGCAAATCAGCAATGTGCTATTCCTGGATGTTAATTTTTTACAAAGACTCTTTTCACAATCCCCAATGAGACACAAAAGTGTCGTGTCACTGTCACAGTCCACATATTTGTACTTTTTGAACTACAACTGTGGCTTCTTGCTAAATAAGAGTTCAGCAATAGTGCACAGCACTTGTGCACACATTGTTTGGTGCTGTAGGTTGGGTTGTTGCAGTTGATGGTGAAATCGGCAGGACATAGAAATCTTTTAGTTATGTCCGAATTTTGCAACAGACAAACTCTATGCTGCACAAAGGAAGATAACCATGTTGGACAATCAGGTCAAAATTTACATCAATTATGTCCCCTTGTGCAAAACGGGCGTGCGAGATGGATTCATGGCAATTTCATTTCTAAATTTTAATGCTGTAGTCCTCAGTCTTAACTGAAATAATTTGGCTTGACATAGATCTAGATAAAGCTATAGCCTGAACCTTTTGAAACCAATGAAACACTGCTTGTTCCACTGCTATTTACTTTATCAGTTTATGTATATAAGTATATGCCTTTTCGTCCCTGGTTCAGCACCGTTCTCAATATTTTCCAGTGGTTCTTTTTCTTTAGATCGGAATCGCAAACATTTTGTAGATTGGGTTTTTTATATTGATTTTACATCCACTTCTGCTAAGATCAGCTGTTTGTCATCAACCGAGAAGCCTTTGTATGATTCTTTTATTCCGCTATGGTTCACTCTCTACTACAATTTCAACTAGATCTAACTGTGCAGAACGTCAGTTAGCTGCTGCATAGTGCGTAATCTCTGTTGAAGAGAAAGTGCTGACACACTTGGCGACAATAGGGCCTTACCGGCTACGTGCCTTCACAAGCAGACGCTCTGCTCGCATATGTCTGAACCAAATCGGCCACTCTATGAAATCTAAAAATCAGGATCTTATGGTGAAAAAATCGGAATCGACGACAACTCACCATGGTGACTAGAGAGCCGATTAAAACATTTTCCAGGGGTGTTAATAAATTAAATAAATATCCACATATAGGCCTTCTGCGCGCGCTCACGCATGGGTGTGTTTTATCATTATCTTTTTTAAATGCTGAAGACTCCTTGTCCAAGTGTCTACCCTCCCTCCCTCCCCTGTAAGTCCCCAAAGACGCTTCAATCAGTGTGCATGAACTTAAGTTCACCCCGTCAACGGACAGTCCCTGACACAAACGAAACTCGCACGCCAAACTAATGTCACGTGATGAGAACACATGATTGAAAGGTTTGCTCACAGATCTTGATGACCGACTAAACAGAAGTTGGACAAAGCTTGTTTCGAAGTAAAAGCAAAACTATGAATAACATTGATCATTTGTATGCCACAATTGAAACAGTTATCAGGCCATCGTCGGAGAATTCAGAGATTACGAGTCCGGTAGCTCAACATTAACAACTAGACTATACAGCAACTAAAGTGAGCAGGCTAGATTTAGATCTAGATCTACCGCTAAACACTTCTGTGTCGTAAGAAACAAACACGTCCTCGGCCTACACCCAGGCAACACTACTGCCCTCGGCTTAGGCCTATTGAGAGGTCATAGGCCTTCACTCATACTGCCCCCCCCCCCTCTCTCCCCACGGCTATATACAGGCCTTCATGTAATCATGTAATTAGATCTACCCTCGATGTCGCCGATTCTTTCCTTCGCTGAGCATGAATTGTAAAGTCTTTATGTGTGTTTTAATACACAGAATAATATAGGCCTTTAACTTCAGGTTCAAGAAAACATTCGGGACCTCAAATTCTGTTCGCTATATCTGTTATTCTAAGGGCGTCTTATCTACATTTAATGACGGAATGAATTTCTTTTTTTTGTTGTTGTTGACAAAATCACACGCACACTCTTTAAAGTTTGACCACGAAATGTTTGTGCTTGTCTAAATGACCCACAGACATAAGCCAAAAATGTCAAAACCAGCCACAATTTGCAAAGTAGGGCTAAACCTGGGTAAATCACAGACAAAGCGGTCTTGTCATATCAATAACTGTAATAACATCGTGGTCGTAGTGTTTACTGCAACATAAATCTAATTGGGTTATTTATGGGCATGTAAGGCTCATTTTGGCCAGTAGGGAAAGCTGAGACAGACCAGCAACGTAACCAAATGCAAATATCCAGAAAATGAGGATTGGGAGAATGACTACTTCCAAAAGGTTCATGAAGTCGACAATTTGTCCCAAACCGGAAAAGTTGGAAAGCTTATTTTCAAAAGCCCGAATTCCGGTATATGCCGGAAAACTTTCACCCCAGGAGATGTTGCCAAAACAAAATGCATGTACCTGCATCCAGCAAAGAGAAACCACTTAAACAAATAATAAATGGGGGGGGGGGGGGGGGGGGGGGCCCGGGGGGGGCTGATACATGTATGTAAATGGTGCAATCATTCATGTGCCTATAGGGATCAGAGTATCGGATTACTACTCCTCTTCCCTAGGCATACAGTGACCATGTGAACCAACTATAACTCACTCTTAAGTCAAAGTTGTTTTTCAAACAGAACAGGGCTATTCCAAACTCACTACCTTCCCTAGTCGCAAGTTTAGTTTAGTTTTAGTAGAGGTTTTACGGCGCTCACAACTGCATAAGGTCATATGAGCGCCAGAAGACTAGAGGTGTTACAAGAGAGTAACAAACATAAAAAACAAAAAGGGGAGATAAGGATGATAGATGTTTGACAGGAAAAAAGGAGCAAACCACACCAGAGCACTCGCCAACCACCCACAGCAGCAAGTTCGTATCTGAGAGGCACACAACACCCATTAAAAAAAACCCAACCCAAGTTAAATACTGTGCTGGTGATTTAGATGATGATACAATGATCTTGACTTAATTTTTTTTTAAACCTGGAAATTCGTTTAGACTTTGTCAAAAACTCCGCGACCATATATCACAGAAGCAGTGAAACGAGTCACACTATACTAAGAACACCAATAACGAGCCTACTGCAATCACTCACCTTGACTAACACTTTTTTCTTGTCCATCGGTTTCACAACCTCTCCAACATAAGAGCCTTGCTCCTGCAACAGCTGCAGTTCCTCTCTTAGCATCCGAACTGTAAAAGTAACCCAAGAACATCAGGTATCATTGGAGAATGAATCAGAATCACCAGTATAAAAAAGCTGCAAAAAGGAATCAATTTTTCATGTCATGTAAAAAAGTTGTCAACAAAAATATGCATTCTCCCAGAACAATTATTATTATAGTAGAGTTTTACGGCGCTCGCAACTGCATAAGGTCATATGAGCGCCAAGGGGTGGGTGTCAACAGAGAAGTCTTTACAGGGAATCAGACTCATTCTGCTCACCTCTCTAGCTTCAACAGCACAAGATCTGCTTTGATTATCAAGGCACCCCGGAAATAGCAGGTCACAAGAGAGTGACAAACATACAAAAGAAGTAGAGGATAATGACAATAGTAAGGATTAGGAAAGAAAAAGCAGCAGTTCCCTGTTGTAGATCAGGCACAGTTATGAGCGTGACATGAATCAGCCCATTTACAATTCTACTGTGCTTGAACGAGAAATGTCCCCCCCTTTGGGAATGGCCTAAAGACACTACAGTCAGTGGCACTGCCCCGGGGGGTTCCCAGAACAAAGAATGGAGTAGAGGTATATTAAGTAGAAGAATAAACCATGCAATCTAGTGCACGTTAAAGATGCTAATTTTTCACAAATCTATATATTTTACAAATTAATTACATTGCTCTTATACCAACGTTCCTTTCCTGAAGTATAGTCTAAAACTGTGATGTCCCCTACCATAATAAAAATAATAACAACGTGGAAGCAGGAATCTGTGAAAATCCATTCCACCAGTTATATAAGTACTAAAGTTCAGGTTATGACAATTTAAGTTCAAGACTAAAAGTAAAACTATCATGATCAGTTTAAAGTATCAATGATGGCACACCATTGCTTACCTTTAGCATTCAGCTCATTTCGCTGAGCTTCTAAACGCCTCAAGTTCTGCGTTCCCTCTGTGACAACAAGCTGAAAACAGGACATTGAATTGCTTCAAATTTGATGTAGTAATCACTTTTTACATTATAAAATACATCACACTATCAACAGACACCATACTATGCTTCAAATAACAATTACACAAAAAAAGAAAACACAAAGAGGACCAGGAACAAATAAAAAAACCAACCTAAAAACCTCTCTGAGACTACCAAAACATTGATAATAACTTTTTCCAAAATGCCTCTATAACTTATATAACATTTTAATAGAATGAATGTAGCATGCTCAATCTAAATTAAAATTATGATTGAAATTTTTTTGGAAAAGGTATTCTTTTACTTTCACTACCTGCTCATGCTCTGGTTTTGTCAAGCCCTTTTCTTGATCATTTTTATCAGTTTTACATAACATTGATTGACATTATATTAGTCGCAAATTAATATTTTTGAGATGTTTGATGTTTTCTGTTCCAACTATATTACAAGCCTAATGGCGTAGTAATTTCCGCCCTTTGGACCTATTGGGTGTGTGTGTGAAAATTTTTTCTGGCCACGGGTGTGATTAGAAATAAAAATGACAGCAGTTTGACCCTCAAAGCAGTGCATTTGTGTGCCAGAGGGAAAGTAAAAATTTACACAAAAAAACCCTTGTAAAAAAATATGTCATACCAAAAGCTGTAACAATCTCATTTTCTCACCTGCAACTCTTCTATCTTACTGACATAGTACTGTTTGATGCCTTGATGATTGTTCTCATCAACCTCCATTTTCTGAAAACACAAAAATAGATTTTTATGCATTCAACAAATTATACAGTCAACCTTCTCTTAGGATCTTAGAGGTAGAACTGAAAGGAAGCAAGAAACATACTTTTTTGAAAGGGATATCTTGAAGAAATAGAAAAGAAGGTGATTTGGAAAGGACAAATCATAAAAAATGCCAATTATGATGACAACTGCTATGTGACTTAGTCTATTATATTATTAAAACTAACTGAATAGGATGGATCAACTTGGGATTTCTCCCAAGCCAAAACAATGAGTATAAGTAAATCAGCAGTGACCCAGAGCACACTTAGACTTAAATTTAACACTTGCCAGGCCAGTAGAACGTCAGTAAGCAAAACAATAACATAGCAATGCCCACCGAGCGCGTTTTGTTCTGCCGATTTTTGGCCCCCGCCGCGGGGGTGTTTCGTGGGACGCACTAACGCAAAGGTTGTTGTCTTCAACTTGCTCTCACGCCGATTCTCGTGAATGGATATGAATGAAACTTGGCAGTCAATTAGAAAAGAGGTCAATCTCGTAGTATGCAGTTTGAGAACATTGTACCCATCCTAGAAGCAGTCGAAAACGTTTGCGAAAGTGGTTGAGGTGGTGCGTTTTGAAGATTTTTCGGAGCTGTGATTTGTCAAACTGACTGATACATTGTACACCATTTTTCTTTATTCCCTTAAAATTTCATGCTTCTGTGTTTAAAGGTTTTTGCGTATTCTTGAAAAATGTGGGAGTAACTAAGGGAAAAAGCGACATTGCAATTTGCGCGTGTTGGGTGAACGACCGGCGGCTGGGAAATTTCCACTGAGTGACATCATCAGCCATCGGTCGCCTCGGGCGCTACAAACGAGGTCCCGCTTATGTGAACCGGAAGGGGGGGGGGGGGAGGGAGAAGGATACTTGAAAACTAAATGGGGGCCTTGATAACTTGCATTTTAGTCACAATACAATAGATGTAGTCATTTTTATTTGCTTGATTGCATGATAGAAGAATAGAAACAGAAAAGCAAACATCTTGAGAAGTGGTATGGCATTGTGTTTGCGTTATGAAAGCCTATTTCCCCCTCTGGGGAAAGCACACACTTAGACTCGTCCTGTGTGCTCTGTTTGGAAAAGTGAGGCATTAAGATTGTTTTTAAAGAGTACGGTACTTATTTAGTCCAGTCTGGGAAGATAGTCTCGTTTATACATTGATATCGTTCACGCGTGTGCATGTGTGCGCGTGAGAGAGAGAGAGAGAGAGAGAGAGAGAGAGAGAGAGAGAGAGAGAGAGAGAGAGAGAGAGAGAGAGAGAGAGAGAGAGAGAGAAGTGTGGGGGGGCGGGGGGAGGAGGGTAGATATGTTACATTTATAGTATGAGTTGTAGCCTACACATGCGAAGTATTCCCATGAATTGTAAACTATATTATCTAAACGCATCTTAATCTACCACACCATAGGACACTGACTAACAATGGATTTACACTGAGACGATCTTATTTTCTATAACAAAGTATGCATGCTTTTACTAGTAGAGAACTGGATTTATCAGACTAATAAATCCAGTTCTCTACTTACATTTTTGTGACAAATTGATCCAGAGCATTGCTTGGCAAGGAGGAACCTCTTATGTTTCCAAGTTCCATTTAAATATCATGACTTTGAGAGAGGATATGACTGATAATCTTTGTAAATCTGTAAAGAACGCCACTTTTTTTAACCTGTTAATGTCTTTACAACTCAAAAAATATGATAGATATTAAAAATCTAACAGCATGATTAAATTCTGCATTAAAAACTGTACTAGAGTGCCAAGTTTCATTTACATACTCCAAAAAAAAGGCGAGCTATGACAAATATTGTCTCAAAACGCACCGAAAACCGCCACATTTTCACCTCTATAAACAACTTCATAACAAAAAGTAGGATAGCTATGAAAAATCTGAAAGCAGGAATAGATTCTGCACTAGAAAATGTACTGGGCTGCCAAGTTTCATTTAAATACCCCGAGAAAATAGCGAGTTATGACGAATACTGTCTCAAAACTCACCAAAGAACGTCCCATATTTTGGGTGTATACAGACCCGGTAACCGGGAACAAAGTCACAAAGTATACAGACCCGGTAGGGGAACTCTTTTGTGATTTCGGAAAGTTTCAGCGCCCTCTTGGCTCAGGGTAGACCTAGGTTCTTCTAGATCTATGGCCTAGTTTCGAGGCTAGCCTAGATCTAGATCTAAATGAAGATTGCGGATGTCTTTTCAACGAACGATCGTTTTTCCTCAGTTTTGGAGTAGGAGGAATTACAATTTTAAGAAAAGAACAATGTCATAATTTCAATCGAGCAGTCACCCTGTCTCTCTCTCTCTCTCTCCTCTGTCTCTGGGTATCACTCGCATTCTCTTTTTCTTTGTATGTCTCTGTCTTTCTTTCTCCCCACCTATTGCTATTTCCCACTCTATCTTTCTCTCGTTCCCTCCTGCCAACTGGGGCATGTCATATCATATATACATTTTGCAAGCACTTCCCCCAGCTCTCACTCTCTCTCTCTCTCACACAAACACACACACTACCGGGTCTGGGCGCTGAAACTTCCCGAAATCTCAAGAGTTCCCCTACCGGGTCTGTATACTTTGTGACCCTGTTCCCGGTTACCGGGTCTGTATACACTTCGTTTTTCATTATTTATAAAAGTGTACCAAAAATTAATTGATTAAAAAATTCGTAACTTTTTTGTTTATTGATGGATTTCAAAAATGCAAAAAGTTCCATGCTCTGTGGAGATACAGCTACAAAATGCACCTATTTACAAACACTTTCTGTCAAAAAAACGTTTTTCGTGGTCATTGCTAAATTATAACATCATTAAGTAACATAAAAGAGCTCTGAAGCTCAAAAGTCAACCGCTTCGTTCAAAAGTTGGGTCCACCAAAGTTCAATCTCACCTAATCTACACATAGAATCTACAGACACAACAACACTCGAAAACGGTGTGAGTGATGACAATAATTAGATCTAGAATAATTCAATAATAATAATAAATAATAAAACAAAATGATTCAAAATGAATCAAAATGTGTACTTTGGGCTTTGCAGCTCTGATTACTACTGATTAGTCTAGATCTAGAATCTAGTCTTGGCTCTCTTCCCTTCTTCGAATTCGAATCTTATTTTCTACTAGATATCTAGATCTAGAATCTATATTTTAGATCTAAAATCTAGATTTAGATCTAGCCTAATAAATTAACTAAAAAAGCAAGTTCTTCCTCTCACTCTCATCAGAGAACAAGCAGAACGGCGACATTTGAGTTTGAGATTTGCGCATTATTCAGAGGGTAAAACAAATGACTACCAATGTCAACAGCATTTTAATCTGTATTTTTCTTGTCATGACCCAGTCGATCAAGAAACAAACCCTCCAAAACAAGACAAAAATCAAAACATCTAACGTTTCATGCGAATATCAAACCGAAAAAGCGAAATGGCATTGTCATTACCTTCTCCGCCATCTTGAAAGCAACTGTGAATAATAAAAAAGTTGGATGGTATGGAAAATAAACTGGGACAAATATTTGCCTATTTATTGTCTTTTATATTTTTTTCAAAACGCTTTTAGCACAATAATAATAATTTATTTTTATGTGCACCCACTTGCTAGTTCTAACGATTGATTAACCTTTCTTAAAGTTTAATTTATTTTTATTCACCTACTTTTTGTTGAAAAAAACTTCCGTGTCAAGTTTGTAGTGGCTGAGTTGTCCTAAAAATATAACTAATCATTGTATTGATCTCAAGAAGAAGAAGAAGAAGAAGAAGAAGAAGAAGAAGAAGAAGAAGAAGAAGAAAAAGAAGAAGAAGAAGAACAACAACAACAACAGCAGCAACAACAACAACAACAAGGGGAGGAGGAGATAGGGGTTGTAGTGGTGGTGTTACTGATGGAAGAGCTGAGGAAGAAGAAATTTGCTGTTTGCCAACTCCATAGAAACAGCTCTTTCATGCAGGCATATGAATAGACGTTCTCTCAGTCACCATTTTTGTTTGTTGATTAGCAAGTAGGCTATTATATTACTATCATTTTTATGATCCATGCATCCATGGACCTGTCTTTGTCAACCCTTCCAGTAAAAATAAGTGATGCCTACTATTTTATTCAACCCACACAAACCATTGGTTTTGCATAATGGGCAGGCCTTGATTCTAATAAATAAATGTAAAAGTATATATGCATTTACCGTCTGCAAAAAAAAAAAAAAGTATATTATGTAAACCTTGCATTTTAGGTGCGCAATGAATAAAATTCCTCAACCAAATGACATAGCGATAGACACAGGCTACCCCCATCCCCAAGCCCCTCCCTTCTCCAAGCAAAGGCAATCATGTCGTTTATATTTCTGCCAGTTTGTCGTGTAGAATACGAAGATGGCAATCGGCGTATGCCTTTTTTCTCTTTGACACGGGGGTACTCAAACTTCATTTGATAGCAGAATTACTATCTGAACTAATTTAGAATTTGACATAACTGTCTTTGTATTTTAGAACGATTTTTATCGTGGAATGAAAGATGATGTTATTGTTCAAAACATGTACAAATTTACGCGTCAAATTTCATGAATGTGAACCCAAACACTAAAAGATACGATTACCTGGCCTTTACACTCGTCGAAGTTGTCGACCGAGATCATAAAACTACGTAGGCGAACCGGGGAAGAAACAAAAGTTTTCTGAAGTTATCTACTTAGAGTCTAGGTTTTTTAGCTAATTGTTGAATGTGTTTGCCACTGTTGTGTTTTTCATCGTTTCAGGTAAGATTTTAACATTCTTTTATTGACAAACATGGACGATTTAGGACCTGTGATAGATTCTAGTTAGAAATCTACTTGAATCATCGTAGTCGTAGAAGTTAGAAAAAGACTACACTACTGTACTGTAGTGTAGGCTAGACGCCGTACCGTAGTCTCTAGCAGTAGACTTAGATTTCTAGATCTAGCCTAGCCTCTGACATAGATAGGCCTAGGGCCTAGATCTAGTCTACGAGTCTACCAGCCGTCGATTGAGTGCCTTGTACCGCCGAAATCAAAGGCTTTTTTGTTTTTTGTTTGGTGATAAATCCGGTTTTGGCCCAAGGACAACTTTGTCTTTGGAGTGTGGGTTTTGGCTTCACCTCCGAAATTATTTCTGGGTGCTTTTTCGGTAGTTCCCACCCCCCTTATATTTTGAGCCTGAACTAGATCTAGATCTAGATATCTACATCGAGATCTATTATACGTTTGATGCGAGCTAAGATAGCAAATCTAACAAGTGCAAAACATCAAATTATGGTAAAATTCAGGGGGGCATGCCACACTACATTTTTATTAGCCCCTGAAACCCCCCTCTCTTGAGGCCAAAACCGGCGAATAACAATTGCGGGGTGGGAACTACCGAAAAAGCGCCTATTTCTGGTTCTAAACGATTTCTTTTCGACGTGCATACCGATGCTTGAATGGTTTGATGCTCAGCGAACGGCACTTCTGTACAATTGTGGTCCCGTTAGATCTAGATCTAGCACTAAATCACTCAAGCAAAGACTACTGGATATCGATACTGAATTATAAATATTCGGTATCGATGTTTTATCAGTATATCTAGCCTATAAAATTAGCAGTATTAACAAGGTAAGGGGGGTTTCAGGGGGGCTTGCCCTGAGTTTGACCATAATTTGATGTTTTGCAATTAGGATTGATTGGTTATCTTTCCATAGGCCTATCGGCATGCGCATCAAAAAGTAATCGTTTAGAACCAGAAGTAATCATTGGTGGGGTCAAAACGAGTATCCCTAAACGGGACCGCAATTGTACAGGAGTTCCCAGCGAGCAAGAGGTCGGACCTATTTGTATTACAAAACATCATTGTAAAATCACCCCCCCCCCCTTATTTTACAGGCCTAAAACCCCCTTTGTTAAAAAGAATTAGATTAGATCTAATTTCTAGATCTAGTGAATTATACTGCTATTTTTTTACTGAAAAATAGCAGCGCATCTCTCACTTTCTTTCGGATAAAACATCGATACATCTGCCGAGTATTTGAAGTCAGTATTCTTGGGGCCAAAAGTGGAGAATAGAGCTGTACCCCGGTAGCAAACCCGCTCGTGCTCGCAGGCCCCTAGTTCAAGCCACAAGCCTCAAATCACTTGGTCAAATCATCAAATCAAATCACCAGCATGATAAATTGAGTCTAGCCTAAGCTTCTAGTTCTCACCAACTTGCAATCCGCGAAGTCACTAGTGTCAGTCCCCTTCACTTCATCCTCCCCACCCTGCTCGCAATCCGCGAAGCCACTTACGTCAGAAAGAGAGAGGGGGGGGAGAGACCCTGCTCACAGTGTCACTGCGTGGCATAACGCAGGGCCCGCCTGGGGTCTGCTCCATTAATTGAAAGTTTCAGAGCAGCGGACGGCCGTCAAGTCTTAAATCCTGTCTGCAGCATAGTTTGACACTTGAGTCCCAGAATTTGCTTTGCCTCCCATTTCTTGCTCTGTGTCCCATGGCTTGTTCGCAACCTGACAAGACACCTGTGCCCCACTATCGCGTATGCAGGGCAACACCGATCGCCAGCAACAAGCAGCGAGACCTTGGAGTAACTACTATCAAGACCGGTAGTCCACCCCGCTTTCAGCGTGAACTCTGAACCGTGGAGGAAGGGAGAGGCTGTGCTTGTTTTGGTGCAAGACGTAGAGAGCCGAAGCTATTTTTAACTTCCCATCGTTGATCAGCTTAGCGAGTGGATAAGTGAGAGGGAGCGTGGTATTGTAGTAACAGAGACCTAATCTAGTAATAAATAGACTTAGATTACCTTAGAATGGAAAACTCCAGGGGTCGTTGTGATTGGCTTTTGTATCGTATGTATGTAGCATATTACTTTTGTAGATGTTTAACACTCCCAATGACATAATACAGAACATTTAGGAGACGGGCTAGGCCCACTTCAACCCAATGTTAGGGCCAACCTGGGCTGAGAGGGAACAACGCCCCAGCAGAAAGACGGAGGTTCTTAGTAAAAATTTCTCCCCATATGGGAATCGAACTGAGATCTTTTGTGTGCGACGACGAATCGCTTACCCCGTGCACATTTTAAAAAACGGCCTTTACATCGTAAGAAAAGCCGTTCCATATATTAATTTTTAAGTGCATTGAATAGAGCTTTTTCTTTTTTACAACCCGACTATGGAAAAAAAACAATCTTACACTTTTTGGTGCAAGCCTCTCAACGTAAACGACAAGAGAATCTTCTGTAATATGTACTGAGTGAACCTAGAGCCACGAGAGTTCGCAACGTCACGACACAGTACGGCAAGCCTGTCCGCGAGTCACAACTCACCATATACAGGCCAAGAGAGCAATCCATAAATTTGTGAATGCATAGCTTTTTATTTGAAAACAATTTCCAATTTTTGTTTGAGTTTTGACATTTATACTGAGTCTGGTTACATCGTTTTGTTGATGCAAGACCGCAAGAACTAATTCACTCGTTTTCCCCCAAACCCACGCTTTGACAAAGTGAAACTAGATGTTTTCGTTTCTTAAATCCTTTCTGAGTTTTTTAATAGCAATTAAAAGTACAGTTGGACCTGCCATGAGGGCCACCTGTACAAACGGCCACTTTCCATTTCCCCCCTTGCATTTTTTCTCTATATAATTATAATTGAACTGTGTAAAACGGCCACCTGTCCAACGCGGCCGTGGCCACCATATTTTAACACTCAACCCCTATCACATCAAACTATAACACTTGTTTTAAACGGCCACTGTAGTGACTCCATTACGTTTTGTCATAAAATGATAAATTATGCATTGGCCCCTGGCGTTGTGGGCGAGCCGTCATAATCCATTCACCTGTGGTTGTTGTTAGGTAGTCCCTCCAACCGATCATGTTTCGTAAGCCCCTCCCACTGTTGACCTATAGGTAACAAATTTTCAGCTGCTGGTGAGGGAAGCGTGTGATCCCTCATAACTCATAAGCCCCACCTAGAACTCATACACTCAAATTGTGAGTGAGATGAGTGGTCACTGTTTACCCAGTCTGTAGCAAAGTAACAATGGACGTCAACATGAACTTGTGACAGAAACATCGCTCGTTCTCCGAGTGGTGGCGACCCATGTGTTTGTTTTACCATAGCACTTGGTCCTCTTTGTCTCACACATTTAGTTTTATTGTCACCCTTGCACAAAAGCAGCAACCAAATAAAATTTTAAAAAATAAAATAAAACCCAGCGAAAACAACAACAACAATGCAGCTCCTTTAGATTGGGACCTTGGAAAGGAATGGTTTGTTTTCTTCATCTTGGTTAGTCCTGCCTAAGAGGGCCACCTGTCTTATATGGCCACTTTTCTCCTTGACAATGGGTGGCCGTCTTACACAGGTTCGACTGTAATTATAAATGACGGATCGTTATAAGACGAAACAGTACTGAAGCACCCTGTCACTGCTGATATATCGGCGATACATCCGCAAGGGGTGTGGACTAAGCCCGTGATAAAGCCCGGCCCGAGATCGATCGGCCCGATCATAGTCATGTGATCACGGGCCCGGGCCATTTCAGAGAGCCCGAAACGGGCCGATCAGTCACTCACTTTGGCTCGATTCAATTGGCTTTTTTTTACTAATTTCTTAATTGACCAAAAAAAAAAAAGAAGAAAAAAGCAAAGCAACTTTTCTCAAGGATGCGAGGTTTGATTTTTGCATTGTTGTACAGTACCTTTCTGACTGTGTTAACGCTGATCGGGCTGACCCAGCCCGTGCGCTGTCTGCGCGCTGCACCGCACTGTACTCTGATCGCACTAAACGGGCCGGGCCGGTGTAACGGGCTTTTCGTTCCATTTTAAAAATGTGAAGGGTGTGAGATTCTACTTTGATTCTTTCGAAAGTTTGCACAATGGCATACTACTGGATGAAACAACCTGCTGTGGTTTAGTTTTTTATACAATCTTAATTAATCTATAGCACTCTCAACACATGCGCTTTACTTATTTATAGAAATATGTAACCTTGCTTTGTGCAGTAATGTAGGAGAGGAACCTATCTGTATAAACACCGGATGCACTGGCTAGCCAATTAGATTGGCCCAATCTAGGCCTAGCGTTGAAAGTTGAAAGTAGACTAGGCCAAGGGTTTTTGAAAAATACGACCGGAGCGGAAACTGAAACTAAAAGTTATCGCACGCGTACTGACGCGTAGAACTAGCAGGATTCAAACTGAAACCGATTTACGGAAACCACCGCCGGTCTTTCTTTTCTTTTTGTTTGTATTTCCAAATAAAAATAAAAGTAAAAGAGAAAAAAAAAAACTTTTAAAAAAAAGTTTAATAAACTCCACGGAGAAAAATATTGCAGGAAAAACAGAAACGCGCACACCAAGGCCCGAGGCAGCCCATGGCCCGTTATTTCGAGCCTCGTGCAGTGCGTGCACAGATTGCCCAGTGCCTTGGTGCGAGTCGCGTAAGCCTATTCGCTCGACCCGAGCCCGGCCCGGGCCAAATGGGCCCAAGCGTGATCGGCCCGACAGCCCGCGGGCCTTAAAGTTTTTTTATCGGCGCGGGCTTAGTGTGGACTCGCACGGATATATCGGCGATACGTTCGGAAAGAGTTTAGTATGTCTGACAGTTTTGTTTAAGTTACTGTTTTAAGTTAATAATAATATCTATATAGTTCTCCTAATGAAAACTAATACTAGATCTACTGCTGAGTGTATATTTTCATGAGCATGTTGAACTAGGATTGCTGATTGCTATTACTCTTGCCCTATGGAAGAGGCTAGCCATTCATACTTAATGACAGCTAGACAGCTAGGCTAACCGTACAAGTTAATAAAGATGGGTAGACTGACAAAAAGGAAAAAAATATTGAATTGTAGATCTGAATGAAATTTTAGTTCGCAATACCTAAAGTATTTTATTTGAGATGAAACCAGAAAGTGCCTTACTGACATGCATGTATTTTAAACCTGAATAGTTACTTCATGAGACATGTGTACTCAACAGGTTTAGGTCAATAAGGCCTAACCTAAGTACGGCCATACTGGAAGGCTAGCTATACTTAAGTACAGCTAGCCACTTTCTTTGTGTTAGGTTATATTCCGCATTTATTTTTATAAAATACTCATGTGTGTATAAATTTAGCCTACAAAAGTAAAAGTAAGTCTTTACATGTCAACGATAAGTACTGAATAAGCCTATGATGTACCATTATTACTACTTGTCTTGAATTTGAATTAGTTAAATTGGTGATAATAGAAAAGAGAAATTGACTGAGTCTGTAGGCCCTATAGGTCTTATTTTTATAGCGTTGTCTAAACTGCTTTCATTCTTAATATTTATTTTATATATCCTTAAATTATAACAAGTCTCTATTTCTTCCTAAAGTATTGGAGTAAACATTTTCCCATGAGGGTATTTTATCTAAATATCTAAATAGAGAGTTTTGGTGTCTAGCTCAAGATTCTCATAGAGAAGCCTGAAATTCTGTCTATTGAAATAACTGTTGTAAATCTTGAATCTAGGCAAGCCCGATACCACAATACATCTTTTAATAAGAATTAATAGTCTTAACTTTTATGACTAAATGAATGGATGGGATATGATTTTAAAGTAAAAGATTGTAACGAATGTATTAAAGTCTGTAATGTAATTGCAGATATTCCTGTAACCTTGCAGGGTACCCCTCTGATTTTCCCGCCCAAAGCTTGAAAAGTAAAACTAAGATTACTTCTACCCAAATTATTTTAGAACTTCCGCTTTCAGGCCCTGGTCCTCACGGATAGTCTTGCATTGAGGTGGCACGATAAGTCTCTATGCTTAAAAACCACTTGGTGTAAGAACCCTGCCTGCCCAACAGAACTTGCTTTTCACATATATTTTGTGCCCTATAATTTGCATGCTTACGAACCTGTTCTCTAAATCTGAAGTTGAGGGCAATTTACTTGTGTAAAGTTTATGGTGTTTTCATAACACAAGTAAAACCTCAGTGTAGTGGTGTCCACTTAACATCAACCTAGATAAGAGCAACCTCAGCATAACAGCTACCCAGGCTTGTGTTATGGAATTTGTCCTGTAAATAACCCACTTTAACAACAACCTTTTCCCCAAACAACAACGTTCGTTGTTATGAATTGTCAAGCAAAAAATTTTTTTTAACGATTCAAAAACAATGTGAACAACAAAAATGGCCTATAATTTCAGCGTGTGTGCATTTCTCCTCTCTTCTTTATCTCCTCACAACTGCTTGGACCAAAAATGCACTACCTGAGTGCAGGAGGGAGTACAGTTCACTTCATCTCATGAAGAGCCATCTTCCTTTAAAATCTCTCCTGGCTGGAGAATGGGTGGGAATGGGTACCCGGCTATAGACAGCGAAAGATCTTGTCAGTTTGTTAGTGTTTGAGCGCTTAATCGGCTGCTCGCACTGTATGCTTCCCGGGAAGCTGAGAATGTTTCGGAGTGTTCTATGGTCTGCTGGGGTAATAATATAGTGTAAAGCGCATAGAGCCTGCTGTTGAGCGGGGATATGCGCTATACAAATGCTATCTATTATTATTATTATTATTAGAGAAAAGTTTTGGTCATTTTACGCAACATCCATCCTGCGATCATGCATCAGATCTCTGACACTGCCTATGTTTTCGCTTTTTGACATAATAACATCACCACAGCATGCAATTTGTGTGTGAATGTGTGTTATTTGGGGGGGAGGGATAGTGGGGTTGTCCTATAGGTACAGATTTACCCCCCCCGGGGAAAATTTAGTTTACAGATTTGCTCCCCAGTGGGGTTGCTGTCATGGGGGCACCACTTGAATGACTGTCTGTATCGTCATTGTTTATTTCAGGAAGGGGAGGGGGCGGGGCATCCATGTAAAGTCCGCAGTTGAAAAATGTTAGTTTAACTCTTTTTAAGTTAAAAAAGAAATTTTTTGGGGGATGTTTTTCTTTACTTCAAATCCTAGTGATATTGACTTTGACATACATGCATGAGGAATTTATGAGCATGATGGGGATACAGATCAGGATGGTGATGATGCTGATCAGTGAGAATGAAGACTTTCTTTAATCGTGTTAACCTTTGGGTTTTTGTTTTGCTGAGCCCACCAGTGGGTAGGGGAATGGAGTGGAGGAAGCAAAGAGTTTGGAAGTGTATTTTTGTGTTTGAGTGTGTGTATGTGAGGAAGGGGGGGGGGGGATGCAAGTGTCCACTGACAGCAAAATTGACTTGAAATTTGGCCTCGCATTGCAGCTATTACGTGGCACTTGTGTATGCAGTAAAACTGTCACTTTTTGTCTTTTTTCTTTTCTTTTCACCATGTACAATGTGTTGTAAACAGGCTTTTGAGCTCTAAAATCCCTAGAAAAGGAAACAATATATTGCGCATAGGCGTTTTATGGAGGTATGTTTTTGACAAAGTATTTAAAGTTAAAGAGTAACATTTCTAGTTGGGACTTCAAAAAGGGAGTCTGGGGGCTCTCGTGGCCTAGAGGTTACGGTGTTGGCCTCTCATTCAAAGGTCCTGGGTTCGATTCCGGGTAGCGACCAAAAAATTTACTTCTCTAAAATTGTCTCCTTTCACATCCTTTCCTGATCTCTAACAATGTTCTGTTGTCTGCTTTCATTTCCACTTTCTGCCCCCACCCCTCACCTCCTTGCCCCCTCCTCTGGGCTCCTGACTCTTTCTGCAGCCTTTCTACTGCTACTCCTTGGCTCCCCTGATCTTCTTCTAGCCTTCTCGGACAAGGGCGAAAAATCTCGGAGGGCCCGTGTGCAAGTTGCGCACGTTAAAGATCCCTTGGTGGTCGAAAATCGATAAGAGTAGGCTTCGGCCGCCACCCGGGCAAAATTCAAAATTTCCTACCAACGAAAAAGTATTAGGTGTGTCCCGCGCGCTCATATGACCTTATGCAGTTGCGAGCGCCGTAAAACCCTATACTAAACAAACAAACAAACAAAGGGAGCCTTATAGCGGAGAGTACGTTTTAAAGCTGAATACGTTATAACTGTACTTAATTTAGGTATTTTAAAAATGCAGTCACAAGAGTCAATTCAATTTCTTAACTAATATTGCACTGTCATTTTTTATGAAGGAGAGGGAATTGGGTATACGTATAAAGAGAGGTAGGGATGAGGGAGTGGCGGTGACTAGGGCCAGCGTATGATTTATTAATTTATCATATGCATGCGCACTAACACTAGAGGAAGCTCTGTGGAGCTGAGACTTTTTGTCTCGTCTGCTTCCACTTGGAATCAACTCGACGCTTCCACCCGCGCGGGTCCATTCGGAGTTGATGAAAGGAAAAGAAGTAGGCCTACCCACAAATCTTTACAGGAGCGAAACAATAAATAGAAAAAAAAAGTTGAGTGGTTTTTGAATAATTCAACTACTCGTTCCTCTCATGAGGTCAAAGCTTCGGACTCCCATTAGCCATTATTTTTCCCTCACTTTAGCTCCCTTGAGACTGGTTCAGTTTCATAGTTTCAATCCAAATCACTTGGCCATTCTTTGTCGTAGAAATTTACTCAGAAACCTGAGTAGTTATAATAATATAGTTATAAAACAGACTTGAGTGACTGTCAAAACATTCTCCCCTTTTCTTAAGTGAAGTGGAACATTATTTCGTTGGATGGTACATTTTTGCGTTATAATCTGTCTTCAACAAAGCGTGAAACTCGGTCAAGAATGAGCAATCCCCAAACGAACATGAAATTTCCGCGCACAGCCCATTCTAAAGGCAGCGAGTATGAATGAGTTGCCTGTGGTTTTCACTTCGGAACCGGTTCTTCTTCGTTTTCCGCAGCCCCCTTCGTGGTGTACCTCTCTGGCCATAGCGAACCTGTCTCTGGCTCGTTAAGTTCCAGACAGACGCGCTGACCTTAACACCGAACGAGCAGGGTAATGTAGGGTCATCGGGTCGGCTGCAAGTAACGCGGTCGCGTTTTTGTCTCGTCTGCTTCCACTTGGAATCAACTCGACGCTTCCAACCGCGCGGGTCCATTCGGAGTTGATGAAAGGAAAAGAAGTAGGCCTACCCACAAATCTTTACAGGAGCGAAACAATAAATAGAAAAAAAAAGCCCAGTTTACCCACCGAGGTGGAAGTGAGGGGAATGGGTTGAGTTATGTACACGGGAGGGGAATGGGAAAGTGGGGGTAGGGGTGGAAGCGTGAACTGCGAGGGAAGGGGAACATCGTGGGAAACAGCACATGCTAATGCCAAGCCACCAACCGTGTTTTAAGACCATGGTGGAAGTTTGATACATTTCTCAGCTTAAGAGAAGTGCATCGAAATGCAGTCCAAATTCGTGGTGGTAGAGGTATGTTGACCGAAACGTGGTAGGCCTATACATTGTATCCGTACAAGTATTTTGTGACTTTTCCAAAAAGAAGTACACTTCATGCGAGAAAGCATTTTATGCCATGCTAATTATAATTAGCGGAGTCCGATTCACGTTTATGCTCCACCCCATAAACTTGCGAAAAAAACCAGTGTTGCAGTTTACTGGCGAAAACAACAAATTCTATAACATCGACAATAAGCACAACTATCATTGAAATTGCATTACTCTTGTGCTTTAACAATTACCGTCACCCAGTGAATGTTTGTCAAG